TTCCAGGCTCAGACAGTGGAGGACAAGGAGGCTTGGATTAAAGCCCTCAGTGATGGCATTAATCGAGCAAAGAATAAAATCTTTGATGAGGTAAACATGCGATAGAGCCATAAATTTATCTTAAATCTTGTCTTTCTCGGTTTTAATAAGCATGTAGTTTTAAAACTCAAACTATTTCTTATTTTCACAGGTGAAGATTGATCAAAGCAGCAACTTAGAGCACGTTACTCGAACAAGACCCAAAGGGAACCGCAACCGGCGTCCACCGACCAGGATACACATGAAAGAGGTGCGTGTCAAATTGAAATAGTGCCGTAACGTGTAACGTGTCTTTTTGTTTTAATTTGCTCTTAATACAAACTTTGCTTCCGTGGTTACCTGGATCTCTGATTCATTTGTATTAACTGACATGAAACCCACATCGTAATTAATCAACGTAACTACATTACTAAGGTTGTGTTGTGTTAAGATGCAGAGCCAGAATGAATGTGATTAGTAACGCCGGGATTTACCTGCTATTTAAAATCAAAAATGTCCATGCTGTATACCACTGGATGCTATATTCTAATAGAAATGCTATTTGTTTGGGCCCAGTACATTAAAAATAAGCTGCCAACCGCAGTGAGTTAGAATAGTGAGTCACTGTGGTTTTAGATAGATTTATATTATTTAGATTTGATGTCATATTGACCATTTATGGTAGTAGGGGCCTTTGACTGCAGCTGTGCCATATAATAATGCCTGTGATAATATTGTTACAAATTTTTCACAATATAAATTTTACTTATATTGTCACAATGTCATTGCTTGTGCAACAATAACACAAGCCCAGCCATGTCTGAGAGTAAGAGCAACGTATCACCCTCTGATAATAATTTAGTACCTAAAAAGGAGCGACTCCAACAATCTCCAACAAGGCACAGTACTTATGCAAGAAAGGAAATGACTCTACCAAATGTCACCGAAGAACTGGCAAGTTGCATTGCATATCACAGGAAGCGCAGATAGTGGATGGAAATTACTGAGGCTTACATGGTGGGTAGAAAAGCAGGCTCCTGTTTCTGTAAGCATGTTGTGAGTTAATAGAGATTGAAAATGTGACGTCATTCAGGGGTAAAACCGCAAAGAATTCTGGGAACTCGTGGCAAGAGGTACTAGCGCACGCAGGCTTTCAATTGAAATCAGT